ATTGTGGTATTTGTTGTAGTACTGTTCAGTATTAATTATTTGTTTCGTAGTAATTAAAGTAACACATCTGTACTTATACATTTTCCTCACTTGGAATTTTATTTTAATTTATAATGCTCCAATTGTATCTGCATAAATTTACAATGAAAATGTACAGTGTAACATAAAAAAAAAAAAAAAAAGAAAAAGAAAAAAAATCGTTTGTGCCTTTGCAAATTCATGAAAAGTATCTATGTAGGTAGTTTGATTCATCATCGATGAAATCATCAAATTACCATACAGAAGGTAATTTTGAAATCGCCTTCTGAACTGATTAATTCAATAAAAATCATGCATATACACCACAAATATACACCACATCAAAGTACATAATATTATACGAGCTTTCGGGGTGATCTTGAGAATACATTTTTCGCAATTACAATAACTAGTGGATTTTTCAAAGATTTTTACGTATAAATAGACTCGTATACACATGATATATATTTTGTGGGGTATACCCGGTATACCTTTTGCGTGCGTGTGTAGACGTAGATGTGGAAGTACGGATGGAGCTGCTCCATTGGAGCACAGATATACATTATATTATGCTCTCGCAGCGACGGCGCATAGCGACAGAAAACGCGTGGTGGGAGCATCTCTCTCCCGGACGAACGGAAAATTGATCCGCCGGTTCCATTGCTCTTTAGTATACATCCATACATACGTGTTGCGTGAAAACAGATTTCTTTCTTTTTCTTCTTTTTTTTTTCTTCTTTTTTTTTCCTCATTAACAACTGGAGTATATACATAGGTACACGAATCGCGTACAGTGCCATTGATGCAGCTATCTCGCGACTCTTTTACCTGTACGTATATACATACAAATATATATATATGTTGGTGCATGTTTACAGTATATAGGTGAACGCGTTCCGCAAGCGCGCGTTAGTTGTACCTACACCACCGAGTAGTATACAAGTGCCGCTTAGTTGCTCTCTGCAGCTGCTGTTGCCGTTAAAGTATACACATATATATTTAATATTGTCGTGCGGTGCTCGTCAACGTTTCCATACAAAAGGAGTTTCCACGAGCAGCTATACATTATAATACCTACCATCGCAGCTCCGATTTCAATTGGATTTCCTCTCAACTGCCCAACAAAACTCCAAGTCTTTCCCGACAAGGTAATTTTTGGTTATTTTTACGCGCAGCTCACTTCCTTTGGACACCTCTTGGCTCCGCATCCTTTTTCTTCTCGTTCTCGTCTACCTCCTATCATTTCCCGACAATTTAAAGCTCCCCTGCACATCATGATGTATACAAGCATCTTTTAACAACATTCGCACTGTATAACAATACATTCTACGTTAAACAAAATACGCGTGTATACCTGGCATAGACAAAGCATACTTTACCCCCATCAATGTGAATATACATACATACTCGATTCGTATATACGTCAATCAAAATCACGTTATGCATCATCTACTTTACAGGCTCTTTCGTGTATGCACATTTACGCACATAAAATACATTTTCACAGGTGTTGTACCTACCTATATTATATTTATGGAGATTAAGGTTTTCGCTATCGTATATACACACATATACGTGTGTTATTGTTTTCGTCGCGACTCATTTGCTCTGGCGTATACTCTTATAGATAGTTAATACGCATGAATCATTCACGGTGAACATTTCGATTAATTCGCATTAAAATCAATCCATTGCGTTATTGGGTTATAAAAACAATTGTTATTATTTTTATTATTTTTTTTTTTTTTTTTTTTTTAATGAACGAAGTATACGTAAGGTACAATAATTTAAATTTATGATTCAATAAATGCATGATAGTGTTCAACACACATGATGATGATGATAATTGCTTACTTGCGTTTTTGCGCGCATGCGAGCCCAACTGATGCACGGTGTGTATATATATATGTCTATCAATCTACGCACATGTCCCCTGGCTCGTCCGCTTTTAAATTTACCAAGTATAATATGATACCTATTGCGTGTACCTCAGCTGTTCCGTCTAAGCTGCCACGTGAGCAATCAGGACCTAATAATACTATTAATCGACGCTCGTATATATAATTAACACGAACGATCCGTGGCCGAATTACGCGGATACTGCGTCTTTTCAACTCTGGTATATTGGTGTTTTCTGTCGCGTTAACGTGACAAGGGTATCATGTGTACCTATGGATTCGTCATTGAGAATATACCATGTTCTCAACTTGGGGAGGACAAACTTGCAACAAATTCACCATAGAAGCGCTGGTACTTTGCACTTTCGCTGCGAAATTAACTTTTTTTTTTTTTTCATCACAAAGGGTGCAAACGGTTATTTACAAAAATAACATGAATAATAATTGTATAAAAACAATGATGGAATATGTTGATCATTGCCGATTTCATCGGACAATAACGAAGTTTCTAAATAATCATAGAACATTGCATTTGCTTGAAAATTTCGAGAAAAAACTACGTGTATATCTTACATCACATCGTGAAAAATAACTATTATTTTTTGAAAGGGAAAAAAGTAGGTACATTCACCTGTACAATGTATAATATGTGTAATGTAAAAAGGTACAATTATACATGTCACGCACAACCGCCGTGCGTTTACGAAAGTGTCTTTACTCATGTACACCGTATACAATTAGTTGCGACAATTTAGTAAGTAATTTGGTTTTTTTTTTTTTTTTTTTTTTTTTTTCGTACCGCGTTATATTTTACAGTAGAGTTTCTCCAGAAGTGAACAAATAATTTTCGAACCGGATTTGTCAATAATTTACGAGCGCATGTGTACATAATATAGTGTCGCATCTCTTTATACGTGTATACGTGTAATGTATACTTTACTTCGACGACATAATACGTGTATTCGCTTGTAGTTGTTGGGTTATTTAAAGTACGTGTCGTATAGGTCTACTATAAGTGGTGTAAATTTGAGAACCAGAACTATCTGCTCCAATATTAATGATAATTTCACATATTCTTTATTTTTTTTTCCTCAATAATAGATGTGAACATGACATTAAAATAATTATTTAGAAGCGTGAATTTAATAAAAAAAGACTACTTTAGCCACTCCAACTTAATTTAGCTGTTGAAATGAATTTGTGAGAAAATAAAATGTACTGGTATAGGAAAAGTCTGGAAGGAGCAAGAGTATACAGTGAAAAATGGTATAGGCTGATATTCGGGAGGAAAAAAAAAAGTAAGGGGAAAAGCACGAAGGCGTGATGGGAAGCCTATATACAGCTTCTGCTTCTCTTAACTGTATACCACCATTACATTTTGTACAAACGTGAGTGTTGTCACGTATAGGCACGATGGTTTCAAAATCTCGTGTAAATTCTTATCTGCATTAGATTTTAAAACCTATTTATAAATACAAAGCGGCTTTTCCGCGTAAGGAAATCATAGTTTGTATAAAATTCGATTGAACAGTTCATCGATTTTAGTAAATTATGTCTCCGAGCCATTTCGAACGTTGATAACGCGTCGTTTCGGTCCGCGTATACAGAGGAATACAAAATTTTTATTTAATTAAAATCGATCGTTCGGTTTTATGATGTGAAACCCCGGAGGACACGTCAATCGTATAAATTTTAATGTTTAAATCCTTGGCTGGCCCGATACAACATTAATCGAATTTAGTGCTGAATTTCAATCGACCACAACAGGCTTCTTACATTGATACTATCGCATTTGAATGCCAAAACCGGAATTAAAATTCACATTTGAATTGATCAATTTTGAAACCGTCACTTTTTTTTTTTTTTTTTTTTTTTTTTTTTTTTTTTTTTTTTTTTTTTTTTTTCTTCTTAGCAGCGGATTCGCGGGTCATGAATAAACCATCACCAAAAATAAGTACACACGTGTAAAGGTTGTACATGCACAAGGACGTAAAATTCAACATTTCGAGTTTATAGGTATATACTGCTGATGTGTGAAAAATTAACCAAGTTCCTGTACAGTCGTATGCAGGTATATGACAAGCGAATCGTGTAAAACACAGAACCTGCAGTCTCTCGTAAACTTATTTTTATCACACGCGCGTATTGTGTAAATAACTATATATATAATAATATAGTCGCTTCATAGTGAAATGTTGCATTGAATTATTAGTGCCGATGCAAGCTCGCGAGCGCCGAAAGCACCAAACTCAAGTATTTTTTTTAAATGTTAAATTCAACATCCGAAAAATAATTCTTAAACAGTAGGTACATTTCCACGATGACTTGTACCCTCGAAACATGGGGATTTTCGTTGGTGACGCAATTTTTTTTTTACGTATAAATGTATACATGTAGCGATACATTAGAGAACTACGTCGTGGAAAGGAAAGAGAAGAGAGAGGGGAAGGAACACGTGCTCGTGGCAAACGGGAATAAGGAATAGCTGGTTTCAGGTGGCGCGAGGGGCAACGGTGCCTCGCAATTGGTCGGAAGCGCCTCAGCTGACATAACGCGCCTAGAGCTAGGAGAGAGAATAGCGTCGACAACCGCCACCGGCTATACGTATATACACATTATAGGTACTGCCACCACCACCAACTCACCGCGTTGCCTTTACCTCGCTGCCTCGGTTCTCTTTCATTCTTTTTTTCTCCATCAATCGCTAATTGCCAGCCCGGCTGAGTAGCCTCCGACAGCTTTTTCTTCCACCAAGTACGTTTTTTTTTTTTTTTTTTATTCCTCTTCCGTGATTCAACAATTATACTAGTGTACGCGTGTTTCACACTTCAGTGCCGTGATAATTTTTTTTTAATACAAAAGTTTCTCTGTGTACGAACAATAACTGTCTAAAACGTTACTCGAAAATAAACTACCGAATCAATTGTGCGGATCAACAAATTGTTTGTAACGCCTGTCAAAGTCAGTATACCTCGCTAACTGTCTAACTCCGCATTGTCATGATGAAAAAAAGTAAACAATGGATTTAGTAATTGTAATAATTTTTTTTTTTTTTTTTTTTTTTCAGATTGGAGAGAAGCCATGGCACCAAATATTACGAGTGCACCGACAGGTGTGCTTTTCGAGGGTGAAAATCCGGATGAAACTCAAAGACCTGAATTGGTTAATGGGAAAATCATAAACGAAAAAAAGGAGTACAAATTGCAACTTGTTTGGAGGAATATCATTCTTTTCGCTGTACTTCACACTGGAGCTCTTTATGGTGTTTACCTCGCGTTTACATCAGCTAAAATAGCCACAACGATATTCGGTGAGTTCTTATTTATTTATTCTTTTCATTTGAACATTCAATCGACAATTTAAGTGTGTGTAGCTGGACAAATAATAAATCATGTGTTGCACGAGTATTGCACATTCTGATGCGACTTTTTTATTTTCAGCGTTTTTACTCTATCAAATCAGTGGCTTTGGCATTACAGCTGGTGCACATAGACTTTGGGCTCACAGGTCGTACAAAGCAACTTGGCAACTTCGATTGCTCCTCGTCATCTTCAATACGCTGGCATTTCAGGTACGTAAAATAAAAACAATAAATGAAAACTGTAACTGAATCAAGTTGTTATTGTTAACAAATGATTGTAGGATTCAGCCATTGATTGGGCTAGAGATCACCGGATGCACCATAAATACAGCGAAACAGATGCTGATCCACACAACGCAACAAGAGGCTTCTTTTTTTCGCATGTTGGCTGGTTGCTTTGCCGTAAGCATCCTCAAGTTAGAGAAAAAGGCAAAGGCCTTGATATGTCTGACCTTTACAGCGATCCCATCCTCCACTTTCAAAAAAAGTTTGTATTGAATTTGATTGTATAGCACTTTATAGTTTATACGTTATTTTATTTTATTTTTTTAACGTTTTGTTGTAATGATTATATAGATACTACATCTATCTCATGCCGATAGTGTGCTTCGTTATCCCAATGCTGATTCCTGTCTACCTTTGGAATGAAACATGGACCAATGCTTACTTTATACCAACGATTCTCCGATATACGTTTACGCTTAATATGACGTGGTTGGTCAACTCTGCGGCTCATCTGTTTGGAAATAAACCGTATGATAAGTAAGTCATCTCAATGCAAGCGACATTATTATCGCAAAAGGTTTAAAACCTGCATCAAACGAATCATAAAATACTTTGCACTTTCGACAGATAATAGATTATAGTCATTATGTAGTTATTATCTCTGAGGATTTTCCTGTATTATTTTATCCAATAACTTTTTTGTAAAACTTGATTTTTCAAATTATCACAAATAACAATGAAAATGAAAACGATTTCTTACAGATTTATTAACCCTGCGCAAAATAGAGGCGTTGCGATATTTGCTCTTGGTGAGGGATGGCACAACTATCATCACGTTTTTCCCTGGGATTATAAAACTTCTGAACTCGGTACCTACGGTTTCAACTTCACGACTGCTTTTATCGACTTCTTCTCACGCATCGGTTGGGCCTATGATCTCAAAACAGTTTCCATGGATATGGTGAAAAAACGAGTAGAGCGAACGGGCGATGGCAGTCACGAACTCTGGGGTTGGGGCGACAAAGATCAAACGCAAGAAGATCGTGAATCAGCCGTGATAATAAATCACAAAGATCAGTAGGTACAAACTGCCGTTAGCCATGTAAATTCCTTGTTTGTGACCGTTCGACACAAAAAATCGACTGAATTTACGTATTCACATGAGCTTTACTCTTGAACAAGAAATTGTTTGGAATTTTTTACCACTCAAACTGTTAAACCCATTACATCATTTAATAACATTACATGCTGGCCATTCTCAATTACCACAAAAGCCTGTTAAATATTAATTTTCATAAAGTATATCATGTGCTAAAAATTAGTTTTATCAATTTCATGGTTGTGTACACGAGCATTCCTATTTAACTAGCAAAGAATTATTGTTTTTACAATTGCACAAACAGTGTTAGTTATGAATGGAAAAATTTACTTGACTGTTATTTGTACAACAGTCAAGTTATCTTTACATTTTATTTACGCTAGTTACCGTTCCAACTTTCAATAAGTATCTTTCATTCACTACTTTTGGCCAATGCAACTGCTCAGTTAAAAAAAAATGTTATATAATATAGAATAATCAATGAATAGTAAGGAATAGCTGGTTTCAGGTGGCGCGAGGGGCAACGGTGCCTCGCAATTGGTCGGAAGCGCCTCAGCTGACATAACGCGCCTAGAGCTAGGAGAGAGAATAGCGTCGACAACCGCCACCGGCTATACGTATATACACATTATAGGTACTGCCACCACCACCAACTCACCGCGTTGCCTTTACCTCGCTGCCTCGGTTCTCTTTCATTCTTTTTTTCTCCATCAATCGCTAATTGCCAGCCCGGCTGAGTAGCCTCCGACAGCTTTTTCTTCCACCAAGTACGTTTTTTTTTTTTTTTTTTNGATTTTGACACTGCAGTTCCGTGTACTTCTATGATACCTTCACAATTTCCGTCAATTGGTTCTGGAAGGTTGACATTGACAGAAACATTGTCTGTGGTCAACAGTTCAACGCCCGTTCCATTTGAATTTACCTGAAAAAAATGAAAAAAATGAAGTACAGTTTTATATTAACAAGGTACAATAAAATGCCTAAAAATTACTTTAAATACTTATGATGCCCCTAAAACTACATGGTAAAAACTTAATGTACCCATAAAACACTGGATAAAAAATCCATCACACATCAAGCAAATGTAGAATTACCTGATTTGAAAATTTATAAGAATTATGATATAAAATAAACAACGATTTGAATAAATTAAATGAAAATTAAAAAAATGCTGAATGATAATTATAATAAATATTAAAAAGTCTACAACTGATTATTTATTTGTATAACCTAATCCTTTGGAGCAGCAAAATATTTTTGTCTGTTTATTATATTTATTTATTGTGATGCAATTGTAGGTGCAAGTTGTGACAAAATAGAGAAATCTAGAATGTGTTGAACATTAATTGCCTGAATAATAAAAATCATTTATTTGATACATGTTTGTATATATAATACAGTATAGTTCACGAGCTTAGGGATGTAATTTACTTTAAATAAATTTCTTGAAAAGAGCCTCTTTCCATTATAAATATGACATAAACATGATTTTACTTAACATGACAGTATTAATAAAACCACAGTCACGCCGATTACAATATTATCTTTATCTCCAATCAAACTTAATTATCCCGAATAGAGTTAAGCAGATATGGAGCTGTTATATTAATATAGTATCTAATGAAAACAAGTGTAGCAAATGTAACTTGAGATAAGAGATGAGATATGTATGTACATACAAAAAGATAGCTTAGGTTGCATCAGAGGACGGTTCCAGGCCAAAGGCATCCCTCAACTTGGCATTTCTGTCAAGCTGGGCCTCGGCACTTTGGTGCGAGTCCCGCACGACCGGCCGTCCAAACTCGTTAAGCTCTGGCTGCTGCTGCTGACCACGCGATTTTTCGTAGGTTTCAAGCAGAATCTGCCGGTAGGAGTTCACCTTGGACTCGATCTCTTCCTCGTTTTCGTAACCCTGTTCCTCAAGAGTGTCCTGGTACATCAGGCACTTGACCTCGATTTCTCGCTTCCTGTTGTGCTCAAGTATTTCCTGATTAGGCTGGCGATTAATCTCAAGTTTGCTGTCATCAGAGTTTTGGTGCTTGGGTTTCTCCTTCTTGTAGAGCGCAGCGCAGTTACGCTGTACGTGTCCACTGGTACCCGAGCCCCGAGGAGTCTGCAAACCCACGCCGTTGTACATTATGTTTTTTTCTTCTTTATCACTGCCTCAGTACTTATCACTTCGTAAACAAACGAGAGGCCACAAGACTTTTGTTGATAAGCTACGGTTTCACTACTGCATCATTCTGTTGAAGTAAAGAGCAAAATAAAATCTTTGTATTTTTTTCGTACTGCTCTCTGCATCAGTTCGGACTGTTTGATGCATAAGCACGTAAACTTTATTAATAATTATCAACATAAATACTCACGTACAAATATTCAATGATTGGTGTGATTATATTGTTGTTATAGTTTTTGACGCTGTTGTGGCAGTTTTTCCTTCAACTAAAAACTTCTCCTTACTTACATCAATTTTTACCTTATGTGTAAATTTGCAACAGTACAATGCAACACAACATGAAAACAAACATGTCAATTCGTTGAAATGGATTAGCTGTGTTCAATTTACGAATCCTGTCCAAGTGGTTTAACCCCGGCTGTTCCGAAGTTCCGATCGTCTCACTATAAATAGAACCATTACCATAATATTTCTTAATAAGTTAATAATTCAGCGATTTAGCATTGGATTGGATTGTGTTACTGCAAAAACATCAAAATTTTGTTTTTCACAACGATTCGTTTATTTATTTATTAATGTTACGTTCCGTTTGTTCGGTACTTGGTTAACTGAGCACACCTATTGAAAATATTAGATTCACACCTCTACTTTACCGACAAAATGTTCTGACCCGATGCAGGTTTTGTTTTGAGAATTTGGGGAATGCATGTTTACAGTCCGAAATCCGGAATCATAGTTATGCTTACTCATTAAACTTAATGATAAGAGATCATAATTTTTTTTCAATACTTTTAGGACAAACTGCTCTTAGCATGAAAATGAAAGACTGTTTGTAATATTTATCGACTATAATCGTTGAGCAAGTAAGAAAGTTATGACAAGCGTTAAGTTAGAAGTTCAGTGGTCTCCGATACATCCGAATAAGTTTATCACTTGGGGAACAGAAATATACCTCTACGAAATAGCACAGCTCAAGGAGAGCGTCAGACCATCGTGTAAGTCCTTTTCTTTTCACATTTGATTGGCTCTTTGAAATTTGATCACTTAGTATATAACCATTTAATTATGTTCATGAGATCGTTGTTTACTTCATTTAAATAGGTATTAAAGTATCGGATGAAACAGTTGCACATCTCCTAGCGAGTAGTACAAGTTACCCTTATGTCAAGTGCATTGACATCTATCCTCATCCTGAGCCAGATATTTTGTTAGCTGTTGGACAGGCCAATGGAAAAATTGCACTAGCAACTTTTGGCCCCACTATTTTTGACGCCTTGGGTATAGCAGGCAAAGAATTTGGTACGTTTTAATTAAGAATAATAAGTTTTATAAAATTGCTGTGAATTCATGAATTGATTTTTCAGTTCCTAAACATGCTAGGCAGTGCAACGCTGTTGCTTGGAATCCTGTAGATACTAATATATTGGTCTCTGGGCTGGACAAGTATCGTACCGATCAGTCTTTACTTTTGTGGGATGTTTCAAAAAGTCCACTCAGCACAGAGAGAGCGCACCATTACAATGCCAGTCAAGTGGAAATGCCTAAACCAATTGCCGAAACTGGCAATTCCGAGACAATACATTCACTATCTTGGTTCAAGAATGAGCCAAAGTGTTTGGTTGCTGGGGCCAACAATAAGCAGCTTAAAATCGTTGACTTTCGGGGTGAGATGTACAATTCGAGTCAATTTTTACTGACAATCAAGATGATGAAAAATCTAATCACAAAAAATTTACAGATTCGGTAAAAGTAGTAAATACAACGTCGACAAAGGCTGTATTTAGTTTAGCAGTGAATCCCCACAATGATCATTATTTGGTGTCACAAGTTGACAATCAAATCATCATTTGGGATACACGTTCTTTTGAAAAACCACTTCTTACCCTCCTTCAGCAAAAACCAGTAACTAAAGTTTTGTGGTGCCCTACCAGACAAAGTTTATTAGGTTCACTACAAAAAGACTCTGGTATTTAAATTAGTCAATAATTTCTTTTTCATTGTAACACTACCATTTTTATTAATACTATCCTCTACATTTGTAAAGGATCTCTATATCTCCATGATATACAGCATTACGGAACTGTCAGAGAGGATGCAGAGCCTGGGGCTCTTGAGAGAACCATTGCACCTTCATGGGCCAATCCAACTAGTTTCTCATGGCATCCCACACATGTAAATAGATTTTTAGGGATTTCTCAACAAGGTATACTTTTGCCAATGCTTATGTATTTACAATTTATTTCAGTAGTATTTAATTTACAACTTTAATATTTCAGGTTTGACTGATTATACTGTTAATGAGAGAATAACTTTAAATTGGTCTGCCAGATCTCATCTTGTATGGAATCATTCTTCCAAAACTTTTAAATATATTTGTAGTAGCGATAAAATTTACAAAGACTTGGGTGATATTTCAATATTAACGAAGAAACGTGCAATGGCAGGCTATGGTCTATTGGTGAATATTTAAAAAATGTAAGTTACTTTAATGATTCAATTATATTTATTTTTTATTTAACCGTCTTAGCCTGAATTAGCACAAAACGGAGAACTAGCTGAAGACGAGACATTAAAAAATTTGTGGCAATGGTTATACCTCAGTCGTTCCTTAGTAGAAGATGGCACAATAGCAACTGGAGTACTGAAACATCCTGGTATCAGGTTGGTACTAAGATTAATCATTTCAATCTTTGAATGTCTATAATTCGTTATTTTATTGTAGGACTGTTCTCAAACTAGATGGACAAACAGGAGGTTTTGTAAAGTCGGAAATTGTTCACAGACCATGGGCAGATATTGGCTCCAATCACACTGCCAAAACTTATAGGTGAGCTTAATTATTTGTCACTGCAAATCACAAAACGTAATATAACTTGTGCAGTTAATTAACGTTTGTAAAATTGTACAGATCACCTGATCGCGATAAGGCTCTACAATTATGCGGTTGGAGATTTGAGAAAGATTCAAATATGCCTTACAATAATTTATTTATTGAACGTCTAGAAAGAGAAGGCACTTATTCCAGAGCATCGGCAATATCTGTCTTCAATTTAGGTTTGCGACAAGCCATTGAAATTTTAAATAGAGGTGCTAGTAAAATGTCCCTAGCATCGAATTTACATATTGTTGCAATGGCACTATCTGGATTCTCGGAAGAAAAAAGTAGTATGTGGAGAGAATTGTGTTTAAAGTCACGAGCTCAACTGACTGATCCCTATCTCAGAGCGACTTTTGCTTTCCTCACTGCTGACAGTGATTCCTATGAAAATGTTCTTGTAAGTATACAAAATTTATATTATGCGATTTGTTAATTTTTAATTTTAGTTTCCTGATAATGACTTGAATTTCTCAGAATGAAAGTGGCGTGGCTGTGGAAGACAGAGTAGCATTTGCATTGATGTTTTTATCAGATGCAAAATTGTGTGATTACATAAATAAACTGACTCAAAGTTTACTCGATGAGGGATACTTGGCTGGATTTTTATTAACTGGTAAAACTATTCAACTATATGATTTTCTGAACAAAATGAATACTCACAGCAAACCATTTATTTATCTATAGGAGCCAACTCGGAAGGTATTCGGTTACTTCACAGATACTTGGATATCACTGGAGATGTACAAAGTTGTAGTTTAATTGCAGTGAGAGCTTTGGAAGAAAATCTATTAAAAGAGCCAGAAGTTCTACTTTGGATCGAAAGGTAAGTCAAAAGAAAAATTAATCAACTTTTATAAATATCTAACAAAATTTTTATTTAGTTATAGGAATCTTTTAGATTCTTGGAAAATGTGGAATCAGAGAGCTCATTTCGACATAATAAGGGGAACAACAAAATCAGAAAAACCATCGCATCAAATGTACATTTCCTGTCATTTTTGTGGAAAGAGTATATCCACGTTTATGCAAGGATTCGCTCGAGTGAGAAATTATGGAAAACAAGGAAGTCAAGTTAAAGTGAGCCGTATTTAAATGTTTTTGACAACTATTTTTGCTAAACTTCAAAAATCTCTAGTAATTTAAAATTAATTATTCTTTTTTGCAGTCTACTTGTATAAATTGCAGAAAACCATTACCACGATGTGCTATTTGTTTAATGCACATGGGAACTATAACTGACTTACCATCTGGAAATAAAAATGACGACGAAAATAAAATAACAGAATTTAGCAGTTGGTTCACATGGTGTCAAACGTGTAGACATGGTGGTCATGCAAATCACATTATACATTGGTTTCAGTAAGTGAATGCAGGATCGATTTTTTACATCAAAGGCTTGAAAAATTATTAATTTTTTGTATAATGTTTACAGACAACATTCGGAATGTCCAGTGACTTCTTGTACTTGTAGATGTTTTTCTTTGGATGCGTCTTGTAAAACAGGTGCTGTGTAAATCATGAAGTATGAATTTTGTGTTTTTTTATTGAAAAAGTGACCTCATTTTAATAGAACTTTTTTATATTAAAGTGTTTGGTTGCTGGGGCCAACAATAAGCAGCTTAAAATCGTTGACTTTCGGGGTGAGATGTACAATTCGAGTCAATTTTTACTGACAATCAAGATGATGAAAAATCTAATCACAAAAAATTTACAGATTCGGTAAAAGTAGTAAATACAACGTCGACAAAGNAATAGTTATATTATTAAAATTGATTCACAAAGATGACAAACAACATTTACCAAAGTTATCAGATAATTCAGGTGGAAAATGCACGTATGATTTTCCTGAGACAGTTGATTTTGACACTGCAGTTCCGTGTACTTCTATGATACCTTCACAATTTCCGTCAATTGGTTCTGGAAGGTTGACATTGACAGAAACATTGTCTGTGGTCAACAGTTCAACGCCCGTTCCATTTGAATTTACCTGAAAAAAATGAAAAAAATGAAGTACAGTTTTATATTAACAAGGTACAATAAAATGCCTAAAAATTACTTTAAATACTTATGATGCCCCTAAAACTACATGGTAAAAACTTAATGTACCCATAAAACACTGGATAAAAAATCCATCACACATCAAGCAAATGTAGAATTACCTGATTTGAAAATTTATAAGAATTATGATATAAAATAAACAACGATTTGAATAAATTAAATGAAAATTAAAAAAATGGTACAACAACCGTACCAACAGATATAAGGTTAAGAAACCAGATAATTGAAAAACTCACCTTTTTTACTTGACCGAGAAGAATTACATCTGAATTAATGTTCTGAGACAGATGCTGGCCGACAATACGTTTTGCTGGCATGATGCTTACTACCATTGTTTTCTTACAAATGTTATTGTTTGTTGCGACGTGACAACAGTAAGTTACTCAAGCCCACGAAACAAAATCCAAACCTCAATGACATTGCGCGCGAAAAGGCGGCAGGAAGTAAAGGAGAGACGATAAATTCAGGGATCTACATTATCGGAAAAGCCGCCTCGGGGAGAGAGAGGGCAATTTAAAAAAGAACTTTAATTTATTAAACAGTTTCGTATACCTAGTTTTATAGAGCGATGTACTATTGATTCACAAATAGTAACATTAAAGATAATTAATCTAAAAATTAAAAAAAAATTTCGAATTTCACAAATTCAAAAAAAAAAAAAAAAAAAAAAAAAAAAAAAAAAAAAAAAAAAAAAAAAAAAAAAAAAAAAAAAAATTAACAAAAATCATCATAGTTACTCGTTTTACTGTAATTCATCTCAAGGTATTAGCATCATAATGGTCTATTTCAATTAAACTCTAATCACACGGAACTCGGTCGATGTAGACCTAGCTATTAACCAATTATTGTAAGTGACAGTGATGGATGATACTGGTTGAACGGCAGCTGTTAGTTTTTCAAACGATATTTACTGAAAACTAGTAATTCTTTCTGTATACAGTCGTGGATTTGTTTATAATAATTTTAAGTAGCACTTGAACAAGACACATTTTTTACTAAAATTTTTTACATATAATATGTATGTACAAACATAATAATTGTATTAAAATAACATTTTTTCACGAGTGATAAAAATATATGTATGCACGAATGACGATTTAAAATTTTTCTTCATTAAAATACGTTACAAAAATATATAGGTATTGGATTTGCACAATTGATTTCAAGTGATTGTAAATATTCACTAGCCATTGATAAATTTAACGGAGTTAAAAATTAATTTTCTTTCTTGTCAGCCTTTTCTTCTACCGGAGTAGAAGGATATATTGCAAATAAAGATAATTGAGTAAAAGATAAGACAAAACCAACTGCGTTCTGGAACTGTAAATACAAAGATGATATAATAAATTTTAGGTAATAATATTGGTTTCAGCAATAATATTGGAAGAAACTTACAATAATAAAAGCGTTGTTTATTATGAGCCCATACAAGAGCCATTGGAATGAAACAATTGTTCCCATAAAAATAAGCGGGAATGGAAGCATTGCGGTACTTTTGGTTCTAATGATTTCGCCCTAAAATACAAAGTTAATTAGTAAAATTAGATTTAAACTTATGCGTGTTGAACAAATCTATAAGCCCTACCAAATTAAAGAGCGGTGATGCAATTAAAAGTAAAAATAATACTGTCGTTACGATTCCAAATCTGTATTCAATGTGTTCTTGGCTTTCAATTTTCGTATATCCTAATACTACAGCAACAAAAGCCACTGCTTTGCTCAGAGTTATCAGACAGCTTATCTGAAAAGAAAAAGAAAAACAATGATAAGACATTTCCAACAATTTTAGTCCATTAGGATAACAATAATCGTAAATTCGTTGACGATTTCGACATAATGACAGTTAATTACCTTGTCAGGCGAGTAAAAGTAATATATCAACGTGTAAACAAAATTTACGAAAAAACCAAACAAATTAATGTTAATCATTGTCGAATCTTGGACCAGATATCCATACTGCAACATGATAACGCCCCTGAAAAATTCAAAGGAATTCGCATTATAATTTAATTAAACGACTCAAGGCACTTGGAAAATTAAAATTCTGTCGATAGTAGTGCTACACCCATTAGAGATATAGAGATGAATGAATTCACATCAAGTAAGTATACCTATACGTGAATGGAACTTACATGGACAAGCCACCGATAAAAGGCATCGGATCGACTCCTTTCGCCGTTCCTTTTTTGCAAATGTCTTTGCACATCAACCTACGATGCAAAAAGCAATAAATTAACCAATGTTGCGGTTAACCGTCTAGTTTTTCAGTCAAGTCTAATTTATAATATTTACTCACGATGGAGACAGCATGTGGGCCATTGTTGTCACGAAGGCACAAGTGCCAACGATGTCTTTGTAATCCTCCATAGGCATGACGAGGAAAATAAATAAACGAAAAAATAAGAACGAAGAAATGAAAAAAAAAAAAAAAAGTTTAAACACCGCGCCCGCACGAGAGATATTAAAAGTGCGTGGAATCCTGGGTGAACTAACGTGCTCCACGTATAGTGGCCACGCCGACACTAAATTGCATTTGAAAGACCCTCTCTCGAGCAGCCGATCGACCCTGAAATATATATTCCTCAGGCAGAGGGGGGAGAGGCCACCGTCGTGTGTGTGCAATGACGACAGAGAGACGCAGAGGATCGTGCTGGACGATAAGTATGTAATGAGATGACGGGGATTACTATATACGCGATTACAGCGAATTCCAACTCCGCAGAATGACTAATATAAATTAAGTATATACGCTGCTCTTTTTTTTTTTCTTCACTCCGTAATGTTTGTTTCTTCCTTTATTAGTAAACATTGCCGCTCCGCTTCGTTGCAATCACGAGGCACGTACTGCTTCCCTTGATTAATTTTGATCAGATTGCGTAAATTACTTAATTGCGGGAACTGAGCTGAGCATGAATTTATCACATTCGACAAAGCAAATAATTTTATTTATCTTATTTTTCAAAACGCAAGTTTTTTTAACTTTGAATATCATAAAAAAAAAAAACCTAAACTCGATTAAAATTTGTAATAATTTATTTTTGACAGTAAAAAGTTTATGTTCAAGCTTTGCAGTGCTGTTTAGCGATAGTGTAAATTTAATAGGATTCGTTAAACAAAACTTTTTGATACGTTTTATGTTCACAACATTGAAAAATACAATATTTATGTCATAAAATTTGGGTACTTATTATCATTGCAAGGTAATTTGACTATTTGAACTATCACTCAAAAATACTAGTTTACACTAGTTTACTTAGTAGAAACGTTGCGATTATTTAAATATTTTTCCTCAACCTTAAACCTCATCTGCTACAAATATAACTATATGAAGTAGCCGTCCCTTTTGCTTAACAGGAAGCTCTTGTTAAAGAGAGCTATAAATTGTTCTATTAAAAATATCTACGCAGCTTATGGTTTTGTCATCAACAGCGGTACCTTGTTTTTTTTTTATAAGAAAATGTAGATTTACCAGTGTTAAAACACTAACAAAACAATAGGTTAAAGTTTTTGTTTTGTGATAAAATTGAAAGAAACTGATTTTATTGTATTGCTTCGAGTTACAGCTTACGATGAGTATAAATTATGTATGTACACTGTGATAATTTCTGCATTTTTACAGAGGCAAAATTATGCCATTTAATACAAATTTAACTAGTCATTATCAATTAACAATTATAAATTTTCACTTTGACCTAACGTTTTCCTGATTTTTCTGTGGTGGATGGTTTACTGCTTGCTGCTGATACATTTTGGGTGACTATGGAGTTAATTTCTTTTTGACAATTTGAATATGCCATACCTAAACCAAAACCTGCCCCTGTCACTATAGGCCATTTTTCTGCAAAGAAAATAAGCAATCTTTAAACAAAATTTTCTCATAATGCAAAACTTAAGATTAGAATATTAAATTCTCTAATCTGTGATGGTATATCTCAATCATGTATTGATTAAATTTAGTTCTCAAATCAATGGGTATGTATGTATATGCAAATTATGAAATGAAGATAAAAATAAAAGTTTTTAAATTTATCACATTAATTATATCATTAGCAGTGAACTACTTATCCCAAGATTTTACCAATGAGCTACAAGTTGTGTACGTATAATTAAGTACGTAGTTCAAGAGAAAATTTATTGCGAATTCATAAAAATATTCAAAAATCGTAAGTACCTTGTTTGGTTTTTACAAGGATTTTCGTGAAACAAATAAATTTTCGAGTAAGTAAATAAAATGTGAAAGATTTTTTAAACGCGTACGCCCACGTATCAATTAAAAAAAGGCCACGGTTCATTCATCGTCATCATCAGCATGAAAAAAAATCAACATGAAACATCAGCTGTTGACAGTGTTGAGTTAACTCTAAAGAAAAGCTGTGAGGTTAAACACATACCACACACACACACTGTTTAAATAAAATAAAAAAATTCAAATAAGAATAGTCAGCTGTATCTACTGTCTACTGATGACAAGAAATTAATATACACATGCACAAACATCAGCAGCAAAATAATCAGGCCAACTTACTCCTGAAGAAGAGCAGCGAGATGACGGAGCCGAGAAAAATGCCACCTCCTGAAAAACGTCAAAAATTAAAGCTATGGGTTAACACGCGACTCGGGGGTGCAGGGTAAAGGAGGAGAAGGAAGTGGTGGTGGTAAATAAAGCCAGATATAGCGTTGAAATCAAAGGGCACAGCGGGTACTTGGCACTTATACCTGCTTGATCTGATTCAACTCACCTAATTTAAAGACCGCGTCCGCAAAGCACCTGTCCCATTTTCTCCCAACTTCCTCCTCTGTCCAGGCAGTAGGGGCCATTTTTCTGCAAAAACAAGGGCAAAAACGCGTGGCTCGTTACGTCACAAAATAGACAGACAGCTGCACCAAAACCAAAGCACTAATAGGACTATACACTGCTGCAGGTCAGAGACGCGCCGGGTCTTGGATGTCTGCCCTGGTCTATCGTTTTAAATCGATCGCGTGACGCGTCACCTCGTTAACTTATTTTATGGGATACATTATACTTTGCGGACTAATGGCTCGATTATTCACTGTCCGTCCAAGTGGATACGACTGATTTCGATGATTTTTAAGTTGCTTCCATTTGCTACTTTATCTCTTTTTTTGCTACACTAACAATTTTAGATGTGACACTGCGCGCGCGATACGGATGTATAATAAGTCGGAGTACTAAAATTGTCGTCTGCTGCTCTTGTTTGTGATGGTTGTCGGCGGTTTTGTTTATATAGAGTGACTATTGCGGTGTACGTTCATAGCAAGGTATTTTTTAAAATCATTACCAATAAACTGTATATTTATCATCATTATTTATACATAAGATAGTAACATGTACCTATGGCTATATACTCTCATAATTGTGTAAATACTTTAGATGAAATGGTAAATTTTTTCCTATGTGAATTACATAAGACGCGCTTGTAAATATTTTCCAAACATTACTAACTTCTTTAAATTCTTTTTTTTTCATTATTAAATGTATTTAAGTGATATAATATATGTTATTTCAGTTTTATGTGAATAAATTTCAAATTTTAGATTTCATCCAAGAGCAAGGACATAGAAATCAATAATCTAACCTGTTGTTTCGAATGTCATGGTTTATTTTATGAAAACATAAACATTGAGATATTGCCAAATAATCATTTAATGTGTTCGATATGGCACATCGTGCACTCATGAGGCTAGGTAAACAATTACCCAAAAGAGTCAATGAGTATAAACCATTTCAAAACTTTCTAGTATTGGATTTTGAAGCAACTTGTGAGGCCAACAAAATATTAAAACCACAAGAAATCATTGAAATCCCGTGTTTTGCCGTGTCTTCCGAAGATTGGCACATAACAGATGTTTTTCATGAGTACGTCAAACCTAGAGTGCATCCACAACTGTCTACATACTGCAGTACATTAACAGGACTAATGCAAGAGACGTTGGATGATGAAGACTTTTTTCCAGTAGTGTTTTCCAAATTTTGCGAGTGGATAAAAAATGGAAATTATTTTGATGAAGAGGGTAAAAGTGCTTTTGTGACTTGTGGTGATTGGGATTTGAAAGTAATGCTTCCAGAACAGTGCAAGCTCGATAACATTGAAGTGCCAAGTTATTTTAAAGAGTGGATTAACTTGAAAACAACATTTTGTTCAGCCACCAATTATTATCCACGTGGTATAAACGATATGTTGAAGCACTTTAACATGAAATTCCAAGGAAGAAACCATTGCGGTCTTGATGATGCTCATAATATTACTAGATTAATGAGAGTTTTAGCCGAGAGGAATAGGCCGCAATTCATTATTACATCAAATGTTAAGGACAAAAAATTTGACGTTAGTGTTGGTTTGTAATTTTGTTTATTAAAAATATAAAATATTTTACACTAATACTGTTGTATTTGATAAAACTCATTTATATTAGAAAAGTATAAAATCATTAAAACTTTTACACAAAATAATATAAATCTGTACTCTTTTTCTTCACACAAGGCATCATGAGTTCATTTAAATATATATATGTAAATACAGTAGAATGATGTGCTTTATGTACACTTTAATTTTATATATGTATATATTCCTCTTTGTTACTAGAGCACGTAAAAATTATTCAGGTGGTAAAAAACTTTCCCCACCAAAATACAATGTATTGTCTTGATTACTGCACAATGAATAAAACGTTTGAGAATCTTCCATATTATCTTGGAACATAGACATAGTTTCATCTGCTGGAATTTCTATAGTCATCTTTATATCATTTTGTACTATCCCCTTACACAAATCACCAAGATTTTGCTGAGTAACCAAAAAGTATTTTTATTAACGATTGTTCATGGAGCGTTAAAATTGATCAATTCAAAATTCTTACCTCTGAATCTTTAATTAGTTTTAGATCTTGAGTAAATGATTCATTAGGAAAGGCCTTGGATATTTGATGAACAACTTCTTTAAATTCATTGGCCAAATAGTCTATTTTAGGATTTAGTTGATCACTATCAGCTAACTTTTTGTACAACCTGTGATTTGTAATATGAATTTTAAATAGTTAGCTTGGTACAAAATAAATATCTGTGAATCTAAATTATCAGTATCATGATTTACCTCCTTATTCGTAATCTTGTTGGTTCATCGCCATGTATAAGTCTTAATGTTCCTACATGTATTACACCAATTCGATGTGCATGGGGAAAATCATCCTTTTTCGGGCGAAACTCTATTAAAACTGATTGAGTTTGTTTTGGTGGAAGCAGAATTTCATTAGGTTTGACATACCAACTGGATATTGCAGATGGACACAGAGCTACGTAAAAATATTGTTAGTTTATTATTAATTTGAGTAAAAACAATATGTATGCATATAAAAACCTTTTGGAATAATTTTTGCTTTCACAAAACATGTCAAATCTCCTCTATTCATTAATCTGATTTTTGAGTGAAGAATTCCATCTGAATTTAAATGTCCCAGAGAAAGCCACATTTGTTCACTTATGTCTTTGATAGCTTCATAAATTTCAATTTTTCCGTATCCACCGTATCCAAACAGTGGCATCTAAATTAATGACATAATAAAATTTTTTCGGTGCTATATACCATAAATAAAAGTTTTCAATAAACGACACTTACCGATTTCACGTAACCACTAATTGCGCTATTTTCTTTCACTGAGTTGTAGTGAGAAAAAAATATCTTTCCAGCCGCAGCTTTTGCAAAAGCAGGTGTAAAAACGACAAACAGTGTTTTGCTTTCCATGGCTTGAAGACATATTATCATTGACGTTGATAGTGAGCCTCTTTCTTTGGAAAACTAAAAGTTTCCGTATGATTTTAAAATGTAATCAACCAAACATCTCAAATAACACAAATTACCCTCCTACCTTGAAACATCGACCCTCTGATTTGATAGAAACAAAAAGTTTCAATTTGCTGTTACCAGTATTTCGAACTGTGAACTGTTGTGTGTCCGATTTCCCGATTTTAACACTGCCCCATACTAAAGACACGTGAGTAGCTCTAAGTGTTATGTTTTCTTTCACCACTGCAGAACTCCCTGAAGCCGTACTGCATGGCGATTGCCGCCCTGAAGTACCAGACCTGTTGTAGTATGAACTCTGTGGTGACGTTGAAGAACCAACAGATTTTAAGTGCTGTGGAGTTTCGGAGCTTTGTAGGTGGTGTGAACTACTAATGGAGTCACAGTCATCTGAAAGTACTTTTTCTCCGATTACAGGATAAAATGAAGCTTTATTTCCTATCACGATCTTAATCATGGCTTGTCTGAAATTCATTAAAATATGACAAATCCTGCATTTAAAACTAAATACTTAATAGATTGTGAAAAATATTTTTTGATTACCTTTCAACATCAGTCTTATTATCTTCAGGGCTATACGTAATTTGTAAAGCTAACTTATCACCTTCATTAAGTATAATGTTATTAGGATATATACAAAAGTCCCGGCATTCATTTTGATTTTCTTTAGATTTTACAACATTTATAATAGCTGTCACAACGATATTTCCTGAGTTTTTTATAATTATTGATTTTACTACTTTGGGTTGTAGAAGTAAAGGAAATTCAGTATCAATAATATCAAGTTTACAAGAACCTAGGAAACCCTTTAGTTTTATTTCCTTGATAGGATATTCTTCATTTTCTTTGAAGCAGACTGAGACACTTAACTTAGCTTCAGCACTGTATACACCTTTTTGATGTATTTTCTCTGTAAATATGAGAAAAAATTTGTAATATTTTTTCGTAAAATTTATTTTAAATGTTTGTATGCTGTACCTATAAAAGATTCAAGAGATGTTCCTCTAAAATCGATATCTATTGTTGATGGCACTTTTGGCTTGAGTAGTAATTGTACTTGTTTCCTCGGATCATTTAGAGATTCGTTAAAACTACCATTAAAACTAAATAATTCAGGTTCATCCTGTTTAATAAGCAAAAACCATATTTTCACGATAAACCAGAATTTTTAATATCATTTTTAGATCTTTATGCAAATACCTACTTGATTTAAGCGCATTAAAACAGGTACATTGATACTATTTCTGTTTTCCAAAGTAATAGATACGCTATTACTTGTATCTTCTGTTATCATTTGAAAATTTACAACGTTGTCCTCTGACGGAGTAGATATTCTGATATCTGGTTCTTCTGGCATAAAGCACATTACATGCTTTAACAACCAATTATTTTTTGTTACCATATCTAAGCAAGGAATATGCAAGACTGAAACTATGAAGTTTCCTATACGCGGCATTTTCACACCAATCTAAATAATATTAAAACTGATAGTTATAAGCTATTACTGGTGAAACGTGTTAGTTGACATTATATATACAATTACCTTGAAACATTTGTTTCCCTTGGGTTCAATTAATATGTCCTTGTTTGGTAGAGAAAGTTGAATATTATCCTTTTCTCCTTGAATTTGAAAAAGTTGTAATTTACAAACGATCCAACGATCTGTTCCATTACATAATTCAAAATCGGTTTCTTGCGGTATGCCTACCAAACAGGTACAGAGTTCTTGTGTCTTCTTCCCAACCTTTACTTTTCCTGCAAAAGCAATTCATTTGAAAAGTATTCAAATACTCGTTTGGAACAAAAATTGATTTAATTAAATTATGTACTTCTATCAAATGATTGGTCTTTTACTGGGGGTGATGTACGTAATGGTGTGAGTGTCTTTTCTTTCATTGATAAATCGTCCATTGCCAACGTTGGTTCACTATTATTAGGTTCGTTATTAAATGTCGCAGACTCTGTGTCATGAATCAAGCTCGATACTTCATTTCCAGAATTACTTTTAACAGAACCACTATTTGGGGTACATTGTAACTGTGATAGTTTCCATTTCAACGAAGGCATCCCACTACTGTCAGCACGAGGAATACTTAAATTTTCACCTAATAACACAACAAAATTTACAGGCTTAGAGCGTGTCGATGATTTTTGAGAGAAGAAAAAATTATATACTTTTAGATGAATTTTGTTGTAATGAGAAACCATCGCTGCACTTTAAAGTAACGTCTTGTAAAACTTTGTAATCCTCCATTCCAAATAATTGTCTTAAGTTTTGATCCGTAACTTTTCTATTACTTAGTATGTCATCAAATATTTCATTGTCCATTTGTGAAACATTTTTACTGCCTAAAGATAATTTATAACCATAGTTTTGTCGTGTTTCAGTTGTGACGTTTAGGACAGGCAAAGATGGTCTATGATCCGGTAAAATATTATAAGTTTGACCAGCAGATGTTATTTTACCTCCCTGTTTCTTGGCTTTTTCATTTGCTTCCATGAGTTTATCAATTAATTTTGTTGGAGTTACATCTTCTTCTATATTCTGAAGTGCTTTAGCAATGCTGCTCAAACTCATAATACTCGGATCTTTAGTAGAATCAACAATATTTTTTTCAGATTCATCTAAATTATTAACTAAAAATAAAATAAATGAGTAAGTGAAAATTAGTTGTTCATATGACGTTACTGTGATATTATATCACCTGCAGATGTTACTGTTTGGTCCACCAAGGCACGACATTTTCTTTGCTTCTTACAAGAATTTGTGTCTAAGCCAAGACTTGGCCTATCAGAAGCATTAATGGACAAGTGGCCCATAGTGCCGCATTTCCGTTGAAAAAATTCACCCACAGATATTCTCCCATCTTCTACCGTTAAATCACCAGATCCTATGACTCCAGAAAAACAAGAAAGTTCCAGTCTGTCATTTTCGATTTCACCAGTTGGCACGGATTCTAACTGATTTTTTCTCCAAGATATTTCATCAGCTAATATTTGATTGCCAACTTTTGATCCAGACATAAATTCTTCATTTCCAAACTGTTCCATCACTTCAGCTATATTACTATTATAACTGATACCACTGAAACTTTGTGCTGCAAATGTTTCATTTTTATCATTTTTAGATTTGTTTGGGCAATCCGACGTTATTTTATATGAATTTTGATATTCAGAAGACCGTCCAGTCATTTCACTTGGCTCAAAAATTATCTAAAAATTATATTCAATCTATAAGCAGTGCTACAAAAGTATTTTTTTAACATTTCATAAACTCACACTGGCACCATTAGTTGACTTTTTTTCATAATCTATTTTTCCATCCTTAGGTAGACTAGACCGCATGGTTTTAATACGTGCATGATCTTTATAATCAGGCAAATTTGTAGAATTCACATTATTTTCTTTGTCCGATTCTATAATGCAGCGTACGTATTATACAAGCGAAACTCGAAATCTAAAAGTTTCTTATGAGAAAATATAAATTATCTTACTTGAAAAAGTGTCAGCAAAAGGCTCAGCATATTTCTTTATCACCTTACGAGCAAGTTCGCGTTCGCAATTGCTGTCTAGAAAATCATTTTGGTTTTTCAACTGTGTCAAGGTAGAAGTAACGTCATTATCCAGCACTAAAAAAATAAAAAGTATAATCTTAGCCAATAGGTACAATTTTTCAACTTATAAATAGTATTGTCGGGTGATGACAGGAAATAATAATACTGACAATTTGTGCAATTGGACATATTATCAAATTGAAGAATCCCCAGTGAAGATTCATCATCGGTGTGACATTGTTTGAAATCATTGCTATTGTCGAAATTCAACTGTCTGTGCTTACTTGACGGTTCCTCGAGAGTCGATCTGCTGCTTTTCTCTACCATTCTAAACGTGAAAACATTATTTATATAAATGTATGTAAAAAAAAAAAAAAAAAAAATTACAACCGCATAGATCTGCGAATCACGATTCTCCGAATCGCAAGATAAAATTTGCGAGCGTAGAACAAAGGAAAGCGCGCTCGCTTTCTCTGTCACTCGCAACCGTAGGAGAAAAAAAAAAAAAAACACAAGATACTTAAGAGCGGGAAAACTTACAAGGACCTCCGACCAACCGTCGAGGTGGCTTGGGGCAGGGGTGTGCTGACGATTGTCACATCCGTCATGTCGGCGACGAGGTCTGCAAGGAGCTTCTTGAGGTTGCTCGGCTCAACCGAGTCCTTGACGTTGTTGTTGTGATTCTTCCTGTTGTTATCCATGGCACCTCGCAGCAGCAGCTATACTTACTGCACGCCACCGTAACTCCGGCCAACTTCTTTGAGAAGGATCTCCTTATACGTATACACTTTTTTCACATCCAGAGTTCACTAATTCACTGTTCACTTAAAACCTATTAAATACTAGTATGAACAAACGCTACCGATAAGTAACTTATACCTGCAGCGACTTTGAATTTGAAATTGTTCACGATCGAGCCTGAGATGATGTCCACAGGTGGGAAAGAGACGATATGGGAAAAGAGTTAAGTGCGACGTATACGACGCGCGGTTTTTCCAAGAGAGAATCACTGAAGATGAGATTGAGTAGGTACTTATGACTTTTTGCATGCGTTACCATTATAAGACGCCGCGCGTTGCGTCGCAAATACGAAAACAAACATTAACTGCGTTAATTATTGGGTATATACAAACACCACTGACCGCATAAAACATAAGCAGGAGTTGCAGCAGACTCTCTCGAGCACAACAAAACACCCTAAGCCCCAATGCCCCCCAAACGTAACGCGCGCTCCGATACGTCCCTCTCCTCTCCCCTTCTCCCTCTCTTTTCTTTTCGTCCTATGTGCGGGGCGAGAGAGAGATCCCGAAATTCCCGACAGATTCGTTGAGGCTTTTTTTTTAGTTCAAGAGCCTGTTTGAAAAAATAGGGATTTTTAAAAATAATCTATATTTACGGGAGGTTTTTTGGCATTGTAAACAAATAATAAATTAGTTATTTCCAAAACAAGTTTCGACGAGAAAATCGAGAAAAACATGTTAAGTAAATCGGTTGAAAAGGAGTCAATGAAATGTCTACATGCAATTTCGAAAACCCCAAGTAAATTTTTATAATTACAGAAGAAATGCGTGGGTCCTTGCTAAATCGTGATCCGAGCAGTACCTGAATATAATCATACAGTTAATAACTTTCTATTGTGAAGAACACATCATATATTTTTGTGTAGCATCTACATTTATCAATTATAATTTATTGAAATAATACAGTTAAGCACAGATTTTTATCGAATATTCACTCACGCACTGTTTTAAATTTATTGAAGTTTTTTAGCAACTGGAAATAAGTTCTTTTCTGAGGTATACAGACACAAACTTTTTTAACTTACTAATTTATTTNAAATATACAGCCAATGAAAACTCGAATAACTATAATGTAACGTGTGCGAGAGAAGTACTAGAGGTGTTACAAATAAAGCAATAGAGACGATTCACATAAAAATATAGAGAAAATGACCGATACTTATTATAGGTACTTATATGCTCATGTACAACCGATGAGAATCTCTTACCGATTTTTCCCAAGCTAATCGCGGTAATATGTGACAACCGAACATGCGGCATGATTTTTTGCGCATAATGTATATATAATTGCTATAGTAGCCAACCGATCCTCCAAGTTAGCACACAGCTTGAGCTGCTTGAGTATATATATACCATACAGAGGGGGATGGAACCGTTGCGACGACAATCGACAACCTGCACGTATATTATGTGTATAAGCCAGAGAGAGGATCTCTCGCACACACAGCTGCACACCTGAGAGATGTATGTATATATAGGTGTTCATATCTCCCTGCTGCCGGTGGTCCATATGCAGCAGCAGAGGGAGGTGAAAGAAGAGGAAGGGTCAGTAGAGGACCAAAGACGCTCGCCCGTGCACCATATCATATCGCTCGCTCTCACCGCGGACTCTCTCGGGGGATCGATCTCTCCGTTCTCTCTCCCTTTCGCGCATATATAAATGTATACACACACACACAACACAGTTTGGGTTGCTGCCGATGCTCTCCTCTTGTTGCGCGAACGAAAAGTATATTATTATGCGTCTTTGCGGGATTGGATTGCGGGGCAGAGAGAGCACATGTTTTGGATTGCAGAGTCGTCGTCAGTGTCGTCACTCTATTTGTCGGGGTTAAGTGCCTTGTAAATAACGCGATTTTCTAATAATTTTTAAATTAAAAACAATGAGCGAAATAGCTAGTGAAAAAATAGAAGAGAATAAAAAAGAGATAAAGGAAGTCAGTGTGGAGAATGAAGAACCAATAAATGTTGACTTTAAAGAAGATTTGAAGACGACAAATCAAAATAATGAAGCAGACCTCTATGCTTATTTGGATAGAGATGATAACACTACAGAAAAATATAAAATCGAAGTCAGGGGGCTACCAAAGTTCTACGGTATTGGCGAGTTCAGGAGATTTTTAAATGAAAAGTTGCAATTGAATGCCAGTAAAATCAAGCCACCTAAAAAAGGAAGTGCCTGGGCATACGTTTCTTTTCATAATGAAGAAAATAGAGAGAAAGCCATTAGTATGCTTAATGGAGTGGAGTGGAAACGTGGCAAGTTGTCAGCTCACGTAAGTTGTTTAATTACTTAGCTTGTTTTCTTTTTCAATTGTTTAAAACATACCAATTTTTTAATGTAGGTTGCCAGTCCTGCTCCTGATCCATTTGTGAAAAGGAAACTTGAAATGCAAAATGAATTAGATACCAAGAAAGCAAAAGTAGAAGTACAGGATGAATCTCTTTCTCCTGAAGAGAGAATAAGGATTATTACAATTCCACTTAACAACATGCCATATGAAGAACAAGTAAATGTGTAAAATGTTACTTTAAACGTTTATAGCTGTCAACTCACTCTGATTCAAATTTCTTACTTACAGTTGGAATTGAAACAAAAAGAAATGAAAAAAATCATTCATAAATTAGAAGAGCAAATTTCAAAAGTCAATAAAGAAGTTGGTCAGTGGATGAAAAAACAAAAAGACAAAAACAACGGGATTTCATGTGAATTAGGACAAATCATTCATACTGATGTGATAGAAGGGTACAGAAACAAGTGTGAATTCACTATTGGTAAGTAACATAATCACTTGCTTTTTACAATGAAAAAAAAAAAAAAAAAATTTGTTTTTACTAGTCAGTTGTCTTTAGGTCTCGATGTGTCTGGAAAAAAGAAAATGATTGGGTTTCGGCTTTCAAGTTATGCAGCTGGTTCTATTTCTGTGGGACCAATTGACCACCTCTGCCATATCCCCCAAAGAATGAAGACTGCTGTCAAGATTCTAGAAAAATTTGTTTGCGAATCAGAACTGGACACTTTCGATCCAGTGACTCACAAAGGTCACTGGAAGCAAGTAACCGCTAGGGCAACAACTTTGGATCATTTAATGTTGATAATAGGAATAAATCCTCAAAATATGAGTGATGAAGACCAAAAAAATTTGCAAAACAGTTTGAAAGAATATTTTCAACAAGAAAGTAATGCAGAAGCCAATGTGACTTCTTTGTACTTTCAAACTATTAAAAAAAAGTAAAAATAATCAACAATATTTATCATTAAATATCATATATAAAAACATATGTCAAATCCGAAGTAATATTTATTACAGAGGAACAGGGGGAGAAGGTGGTGGTTCAATTGTACATCTCAGCGGAACTCCATATATAGAAGAAAAAATTCTCGGTATGACGTTCAGAATATCTCCAGAAGCATTTTTCCAAATAAATAGTCTAGGTGCTGAGGCCTTGTACAAAACGGCCATTGATTTAGCGAATCCTTCAAGCGATACGGCCTTGCTCGATGTTTGCTGTGGCACCGGAACCATAGGACTATCTTTTGCAAAAGTATGTCTTGTAGCTTAGAAAAAAAAAGACTACCATAAATATTTTTAATACTATTTAATTCAATTTATAGCACTGTGATGAAGTACTTGGCATTGAAATAGTGCCAAATGCAATCAAAGATGCCAAACAAAATGCCAAATTAAACGATGTAACGAATTGTGAATTTTTTACTGGAAAAGCAGAAGATATATTACAACCTGTCATTCATCGGACGACAAAGTCAAATATCATTGCAGTTGTTGATCCTCCAAGAGCTGGCCTACGTAAGTAATACTAATGTTGCTTTACTATCTTCAAAAAGTAATAACTGATATTTGTTTGCGTAGATCAAAAAGCCTTAGTATCGTTGCGTAAGGCCAAAAGGTTGAAAAAGTTGGTCTACATCTCCTGTGATCCAAACGCAGCAATAAAAAATCTAGTTGACTTGGCGAGACCAAATTCTAAGCAGTACTTTGGCGAGCCTCTAGTGCCCGTGAAAGCTGTTCCCGTGGATATGTTTCCCCACACAAAACACTGCGAACTGGTTTTGTATCTTGAAAGATTTTCTCTTTTAAAAGAGTCCAGCGATGCAACGTGATGTGTTTTACACGTGTAAAAAAAAAGATGTATAAAAATTTTTTATCGACATTAACTTGTTTTGATTTCATTTACAAATCCTGCTTAGTCAAACATTTTTTAAAGGGTTTAAACGTTTGAGACAAAATTTAAACAAAACAACATTATTCATGCACGGATTTATGGACAAAAAAAATCCGATAATCGAGCCCTCTCGGTGTAATGAAGCTATGTCTGGGCCATTTACCTTGCCTCGGGCACTTTTCCATTTAACTCTCGATCGCAACGATGGCGATTTAAAGGACGCAAGTATAGTAACGATCGCTCCGATATTTTGGCATCCGATTGTTAAAAGACTAAATATTTATGCAATGAGGACGAAAACGAACTTCCAAGTAATCCGATCCTTCCTGAAACGAGGAAAAAAATTGCGATCGCAACTCATGTGAATAATTTCCTTATAACGGACTCAATGAAGTAAAAAAAAAAAAAAAAAATATACAGCCAATGAAAACTCGAATAACTATAATGTAACGTGTGCGAGAGAAGTACTAGAGGTGTTACAAATAAAGCAATAGAGACGATTCACATAAAAATATAGAGAAAATGACCGATACTTATTATAGGTACTTATATGCTCATGTACAACCGATGAGAATCTCTTACCGATTTTTCCCAAGCTAATCGCGGTAATATGTGACAACCGAACATGCGGCATGATTTTTTGCGCATAATGTATATATAATTGCTATAGTAGCCAACCGATCCTCCAAGTTAGCACACAGCTTGAGCTGCTTGAGTATATATATACCATACAGAGGGGGATGGAACCGTTGCGACGACAATCGACAACCTGCACGTATATTATGTGTATAAGCCAGAGAGAGGATCTCTCGCACACACAGCTGCACACCTGAGAGATGTATGTATATATAGGTGTTCATATCTCCCTGCTGCCGGTGGTCCATATGCAGCAGCAGAGGGAGGTGAAAGAAGAGGAAGGGTCAGTAGAGGACCAAAGACGCTCGCCCGTGCACCATATCATATCGCTCGCTCTCACCGCGGACTCTCTCGGGGGATCGATCTCTCCGTTCTCTCTCCCTTTCGCGCATATATAAATGTATACACACACACACAACACAGTTTGGGTTGCTGCCGATGCTCTCCTCTTGTTGCGCGAACAAGTAAAGTACAGCTCGCAGAAAGTGGATAAAAAGGAGTAAAAAAATTTTTTTTAAATAAGAAAAAAAAAAAAAAAAAGAGGCAGGAGGAGGAGAGGCCGCTGCTGCAGGAGCGCGGGTGTCGAGGGAAACGAGTTTGTACGTAGGTACACACGCTACGAGTCGCGACAGGCTGCAGGCACGGCAAAAGGTGATCGGTCGGCAGGACACACGCGTATATACGTATATATTGCACGTATTATAATATAAACGTTCGTAAGGCACAGCAGCTTCGGACAGTAGTGGATATCGTGGACGGAGAATTTGTCGTTCCGGAGAGGTGATTGTTTTTTTTTACGGTGAAAACAAAGTGCCGCTGGGATGCGCTGAACAACGGGACCACCGACGCAAACTTCACCAGTAGTATACGATCTGCGACGTTGGCTGGACATCCCGAATTATTGGCGAGATGTAGGGGACATCAGAGAGTCGGTTTGTGCCAGGAGGACGACGAGCGGGACCATCGGCAGCCGCTGAGGGATGGCTTTCCTCTGCCCGGTGCGCATTCGCCGCGGCAGCAAGAAGAAACGTGAGTTTTCTCGTGAAAATTTACTTTATATTGTACATACTCGCAGTTATTGGAGCATTTTTTTTTTTCTTTTTTTTTCCAATATAAATTCAACTCGTTTATTCGCATGCACCTGTACCTGTGCTTTCAAAAATTTGATTCAAAGATCGTGATATTTGTAAAAAATATTATACCATTAATCAGCAGCTGGGTCGCACAACTTCGCCTTGGAGAAAGATGGCTTGGGTGGCTCGGGGATGGGTATGTCCTCGAGGGTGTCCCTGCCACCGGGTCGTATCACTGGGAGCGCCAGCATAGAGACCCTCGTCAGGGTCGGCATCGAGAAGGAAAACGGCCTTTCCCCTGACAGCAAAATGGTCATCATACACGACTTTACCCCTTGCGTTGACGACGAACTCCAGGTCAAGAGGGGCCAGGTATGATTTGATTATCGTGTATTTATATATTATGCCATGCAGCGTATCCTCTGTTGGATTCAAGTTGCAATCCCGTTTTGCAGATAGTCAACGTGCTGTACCGAGAAAACGACTGGGTGTACGTTATCGCAGCCGACACGCGGATGGAGGGTTTTGTTCCTCACTCGTATTGTGCGCCCTACACGTCCCAACTGGCGGAAACGACGCTGGCGCTCATGAACAACGTCAAGAAAAAGTTGCCCCGATCGATGGATGACAACGACATCGTCAGCTTGAGAAGATCCCAGGGTATGGATCACCAGCAAATCGATACGGGCTCGGCATCCGATTGCGAAAGTTATGCCAGAAACGTCACGACTGCTGCCGACATAAACGTTAACCAGTCGAGTTCGCAGTCGCAGAACTCGATCCAAACCACGCTGTCACAGCAGCCGGATGTGCATCCGTTCTTTAAGGTAACTAACGCATATTTGACGGTTTATTTTTTTTTTCTGTTGAGTACCAAGTATTTGAAAAGTATTGACTCGATTGTTGCGCGATTGGTGTTGAAGGATCCATCGGCTGGAAGGTACATCGTCTTGTACACCTTTGTGGCGAGAGACGAGAACGACGTCAGCGTGGAAAGGGGAGAATTCGTCACAGTGCTTAATCGAGACGATCCAGATTGGTTCTGGGTGCTTCGCCACTGCGACGGCAACGAGGGTTTTGTGCCATCTGGTTTCGTTTATCCAGGCCACGTTCTTCACTCGTACACGACTGCCGGCACAACGAACGCCTCGGTTTCCAGGGAATCTCACGATTTGGGTATTTTTTTGTGATTTCCCACAACTTTTGTGGGTTTTGAATTTTTCCCCCAAATTCGATTCAAATTTTTGATGATAATTCGCAGGGATTGGCACTGGAAATCCGATGGGCAACGATCAGCTGCAGCAAAAAGACGCAAGGGACTTTCGAGACGATTTGACGGGGACGACGGAACTCGTGGTTTTATACGAATATAAAGCCCAAGCACCGGATGACCTGTCGGTCAAAAGAGCCGATTGGATATACGCGGATCTCAGCAATCAAACTGTCGACGGATGGCTGTGGGCGTACGCTCCGAAAACGCGAAAATATGGCTTTATTCCCAAAGCGTATGCCCGTCCTCCCGCCATGACTAGCTTGTAACGCAGTCCTCGTAAATTTACAACTCATTAGCGTATAATATTTAACAAATGATAAGACGAAAGGTTTACACATGAAACGTTTGTTTTGCATACGAAATTTTACAATTGAGCACATGTGAATTTTTTTTATTCGAAAAGCGTGTTTGCGTGTTTGTGTGTGTCGTCATCGTTGTTTGAGAAATATCAGTGAATCGTAACGTTGACGTTTAAATTTTTACAACCGGAGGTAATGCGATTGATGAATCCGTCGTGTAGGATAACGCAATCTCCGATGACGAATACATCCCTGGGCTTCTGAGCTGTTCTCAAAGAATTAATCGGACCAGTGTACGTTAACGATCTGAAAGCCTCAGAGTCGATGCTGTCGATAGCCTAAACGATTGCGAAAATTTTTATTTGTTTCACTTTAAATGTACGATATTATTATTATAATAATTATTTTTTTATCCAATGTACAGTTTTTAAAATTATGAAAAGTACTAGAGGTGTTACAAATAAAGCAATAGAGACGATTCACATAAAAATATAGAGAAAATGACCGATACTTATTATAGGTACTTATATGCTCATGTACAACCGATGAGAATCTCTTACCGATTTTTCCCAAGCTAATCGCGGTAATNAATTTACAAGTTACTCGAGTGTTTGCAAATTATTCATCAATAAACCAAAATCAACGATACATAATTACATAATAAACATTACTTCATGAGAGAAAAATTGAAAAAATTAAGTTTTTTAACCTGAATGCTGCAGCGAATAGGTTCAACATTGCCAATGTCCAAGCCTGCGACCCAGACGATAACGACGTCACGACTGGCCTCACCGTTCAATCGAGCTGACAGTATCGGCAGCGGCAGCCGATACTTGTACTGCGAGTTGCCGATGCTTCCATTAAACTTTTTAGCCGCTGGACCACTACCCGCATCACACACATACGTACGTTCATGATCAATGTATAATCTATCTATACACTCGGTAACTCCAAGTTAAGCAAAAATACACGCTCAGATGGGAACGAGTGAATAAAAAATAAAATGCACTAACGAGAGCTTGTCGGAAACGAGAAGAAGTCCCAGGCAGCGGCTCGAGTCGTAGACGAGACCATCAAAGTTGACGATGAATTTGCTCTTCTCACCGGGTTCGACGCTAAGTATCGGCACTTCCGGGTGATCGAATACAAAATGATTGGTGAGAGCGGAAAAGGCAACGTTGACCGCGCAATCCTGCCGAGGACACTGGATCGGCCGTCGCGAGCACTCGGCCATCAACATCGGGTCCTTTGGCTGCACCGCGACGATGCTGCAGTAACTGCGCTGCTTGTTACCTACGTGTGTACACATCGATCATCAGGTACCTATATATATATATATATACTTGCTGGTCATCCTGTCTCTTATAATTATTAGTCACACCACCCGTAATACGGTGCACGTGACCAACCAGAACGTCTCACGGGCCGTTTTTCCTCATCCCCCTCGTTGACGCGCCTGGTGTTCCATTCGTCGTCAGCTGAATTTTCGCCGCAACTCGTCGACGCGCCACTGGTGCAATCCGGGACTCGGTGATAGTGCCGGTAGGGCTCGGCGGGGGCCGTATGCAGCTGTTGCCTTCGACGTTGCTCGATAGGTTCGTACCTGCACGGAACAGTGTCGGTAGTAGCCGGCGTCGGGGCTGCCGCTCGCCGGCTTCGTCGTTTAGTTCTCGCGTCGTTATGATAGTTGGGTACGCTGTTCGTCCTGGAGACGCTGGGAGTCGATTGCGAGGAATCGATCACCGCGCACAACACGCAGCTTGTGTCTGTGCAAAAACAAAAAAATCCACTACTTGTATTGTAAGCTGGTAAATTGATACAGGAATGTTTAACTGCTTTTTGTCAAAATAAATAAAAAGCTAGCTATGTCATAATAATGATAGCACATCACCTGACTTGACGGTAAATCGCTGAACGCAGCGATAACAGAGCAGATGGCCGTTGGCGCACAGGAGTGACCTCTCGAAATCGCTGGGGTCGGCGTCCTCGCCGGCCACGGGGCACTTGCACCCGCTGCAAATGCCCATCCTCGCGTCCGCGTAGCGCATCTCCTCCAAACGAAATTTACTCTCCTCCTCCTCTCCATCGTCCTCGTTGTCCCCGTCGTCGTCGTCGTATTCTGCTCTCGTGTCGGTCGACGTGCAGCTGTGGTTGTCGCGAGCTTTCCCGCAGCTCAGCGGCTGATGGTTTATTTCTTTGCTGTCCGATTGCTGCTGCATACTGTAAAAATGTGATTCTCCGTCCTGTATGTGAGAGTATAACGCACATATAACTCCGGAAGGCAAAAAAAGAGTCGATAGGGCGGTTGTAGAGGGGTAATTATAACCTTTTTGTAACGAGAACTTCGGGGTATCGCGGCATCGCAATGGTCCAGCGCCTCGGAGTGGTCCATGCCGGCTGATCCTGATGGGGACTTTGATCGATCACGTACCGGAAACTTGGAGCCGAGACAGCACGCATTTTACTTACTCCAGCGGATCTCTGGCATGCATGTGGACCACGCTCTTATTTGTTTACCTCCTCTTTTTTATACGTTGGAAAAGTGGACAGAATCGAGAGTGTTGATATATGGATACGCGCGAGAGGGGTTCGTGTGAAAAGTATAGATGGCCGATAGATTAATTTATTCGCGTGCGACGGCGGGGAAAGTTTTTTTTTTTATTTACGTATGTGTACATACACTGTCTGTTTTTAGGTGCAATTTGCAATATTGATATGGTAAGACAGGTTTCGAGTGATGAAACAAAAAATTTGCGATCAGCTTCACGTTTATCACTTTAAGATTTCGGGCTAAGGTGATTTTTTTTATTGCAGATTACGCGAAGAAAAATCAAGCACCGATATTCGGGGCATCCACGTTTTACGTTTTTGCAATCGAGCCTTGATGTTTGTTTGTTTGTTTATTTTTAGCATAGGTAATTAGGTATATGCTTAGATAATATGTATATTTTCTCTAAGGGTATACTTGAATAAAAAGGTTTACCAAAATTAGTCAAAAGAGATGTAATTGTTTATTTTTAATAGTTATTAATGTTGTTATATCGATGAACCAAACATTGTATAGATATCGCCTGTCTCACGGAAAACTGCAAATCGACACCGAGTGAGACCTACTTGTATGTGATCTACATTAATTTATTCATCATTTGGTAATAAGTATATAGAATTTTTTAAATCTTGGTGGCAGAGGGGGTGGGTAAATGACACGCCATCGAATACATTTTATTTGTTGTATTTTCAAAAACCTACAAAAGTATAGTCATACACGTTTTAAAAGCACACTGACTGCTATTGCCTATTCACTAAAGTGTTTTAAATTAATACAATGAACATATCAAATTTCAAACCAAGTAAAAAATTCCTAGAAAATACGATCAACCTTAATTTTGTCATGTAAACTCTCCCGGTGCACTCAATAAATTTTCATAATTTTTTAATAAATAATAACCACGAGGTTAGAAAAAAAGATATACAGTCTAATACATTAGTTAGTCTTTAAACGACTTATTCGAAAAATACTTTGTAGAAAACTTATTACATATTTGTAGTAGCATTACTTACATGAAAATTTGGCATTTTTCATTGAAAAATTCAAATTACGCGTTGATAAGCTAATTACATGGTTTTTTGTTTTTGTAACAGTAACAACATATTTTTTTATTAGTTCTTCTACGAGTATTTTTACTCATTTAGTCGTAAGGGTATTGTGAAGTAGTTATATTAAAATAAAAACAAAACAATGAAACTTAAAGCTAACTTTTCACAGTAATTTTGATTTTTTTACAATGTTTCATTTTATCTACATGTAAAATCAATGTACATACAATGCGTTTCCATACAACGATATAGGTAGTCACTCTTCCTGTACCGCCGTGGTGTGTATACATGATGATTTTACGATTTGCTCGTGTGCCGGTACTAGCGGTAGTAAGTAATGACACACTTTTGGGTGTAGCGTAAATTTTTTAAATCTCCAATCAGTTCAATCTCTGTTGGAAAACATTTCTTAAATGTACTTACCAACTTTTATTCTGCAGAATATGCTTAAAAACGTTATGGGTTATTTTATTATATAATTACGTCAACTATAAAACATTGTTTTTTTTTTTTTATAAATAATATTTTTGAAAAACTATTTCACCAAAAGTTGAACTTTTTACGTCGTTTTGATTACATAGTTTTTCAAACATATACATAAAAAAAAAAAA